ATCACAGGTTGAGGAATTCCAGCAGAATCCTCGTGCCGGTTGCATAACACGCGGTTCTAGTGGTTACGTGAAGAATGCACCGTTTGACGGGCTACGATCGAGGTCCCACGTTGGGCTTGTCCTTATCATTAACGGGTCGGCATGATCTCGTCTCTGACAGCAGATATCGAAGGAAGGAAAATGTCAGAGATTGAAAGGACGGAACACATCTGGATTATTCTTGTCCGTGTTGTTTTAATTGGGGATGGTCATGGGATTGTTCGGGAGAGGTCATCGATAATATGTGGGTGGGAGAAGAGCCGAAGGGTGGGGGTGGATGGTCTAGGGAGGGTCCCAGACAACGCAAAAACACGACTGATAAATACAGTCTTGAGGGATATTGAAGTAATGAATTGTCATTTAACTGTTGGTAGTATTGACGCAGGGTAACGGAATAGGCCATAGATTTAATGGAGAAGCACTTGAGGAACATCTGCGTCAATCCGTAAAGATCCGGCTCAGAACAGGTCTTCAGCAACCCACGCTTGCCGCAAAAGGCGACTAAGCTTGTTGTAAGAGGCGACTAACGGGATCGGGTGGTCAGGCTCGCTGACTTGGTTGATGCATGTCATCGTATCCCAATTGCGTGAATCGATACTCATGATGTCAATCACTGGATTGTCTGGTCAGTTCGATTATTTACAGACTGCTGTCATTCAGCTGGAATATTGCTGAGTGCGTCGTTAAACAACAAACAAACAAACACTCTATGATAGTAATTCATAAATCGTGCTCATGATATAGTCGGAATCGTATACAAGTAATCGAGATTGCCATGAATATGGAAAAGGTTTTGTCGCTTTTATATTATACACTTTTAATCTATTTAAAGATTTATTTGATGATTTCTGCACTAATGCTGACTGACCATGACTTTTAAGAACGCTCTGGTGAGCCGATGAGTTGGCTGCAGCGTGTACCGTCCTTAAACGCGGCGCTGGCTGTTATCTAGTTTGACCGCACAGAGCAGGGATATGGTTATAACTGCTGCAGCTTACCCCGGGATGTTAAAAAAAGGCAGATGCTAAGCAAGCACACGCTGTGAGTGAATGATAACACTCAATATATTCAACATATACGGCTGTGAAGTACATACAATGATTATATATACATATTTCTGTTTATTAAACAACACATCGGTTCATCCATAGATATGATGTCTCTTTGCTTCTCTCAATGTTTTGGATATATTTTGTAAAACGTGTTTAACTTATGCATTTGACTAACATCTAGGCTCTGAAATGAACATATCTTACAGAAATAAAACCGTTGTTAAATTATCTTAATAAAAATATTAAAAAGGAGACTGTTAATTTTCAGATACTGCAGTAATCTAGACCAAATGTTATAGACTTTTATGGACTGTATTGGATATATTTGTATCAGGGTCTGTATGACAGACGATTTATGCATGTGTTGGTTCGCTATTACCGTCAAAGCAGTCAAGACATGATGGTTTGGTTTGGTTTATTTGTTGTTTAACGCCGCACTCAGCAATATTCCAGCTATATGACGGCGGGCTGTGTAAATAATCGAGTCTGGACCAGACAATCCAGTGATTGATATCATGAGCATCGATCCACGCAATTGGGATACGATGACATGCATCAACCAAGTCAGCGAGCCTGACCACCCGATCCCGTTAGTCGCCTCTTACGACAAGCAAAGTCGCCTTTTACGGCAAGCATGGGTTGATGAAGACCTATTCTACCCCGGATCTTCACGGGTCAAAGACAATGGAACAGATAACATTATAGATGGCCATAACGTGACGAGAGATGCAACAGTAGGTGAGTGTGGTTATAGCAGCAAGTAGGAGACAAACATGTTGTCTTTTCAATATAGAAAACACATAAAATTAAGATCCGGGGTAGAATAGATCTTCAGCAACCCATGCCTGCCGTAAAAGGTGACTAGGCTTGTCGTAAGAGGCGAGTCAAAAGACGCTTCTAATAGGAGAGACACGCTGATTGTACGAGTGTATGGTAAGTTCCCGTGTGTGTGCTATAACCCTTTTTAACTAGATTCCAAACGTCAAATAATGAAGGATTTAGTGCAATGTTTCACCGCTGCCTACAGAAGAATTCAAAACAAACCTCCCACAATCTTCATTTACCACCGAAAATAAACGCGCGTGTTACCACACCAGTGCCGTTTGGCTCATGCAGCCTCTTCACCTTCTCCTAATGATGTAATTAACAGGATGTAGAATAACACGCGTGTCGCTCAGGAAACGCACGCGGGTATCTGTAAGATCAGACGCGAGTATTACCGAAGCCTGGTGACTGTGTGTTTACGCTGACCTTTACGATAAGAACTGATAACGAGGCTCTCGAGGGAAGAGAGGAACGGAATAAACAGGGCTTCGGGCGGAACTTCGCATCATTCGTACACTGGCTCTTATGTCATACGCCGATCCAAGACTTGAATATGAGACGGCATATCTATGTAAACATGATTAGCTAACATGTTCGTGCTTGCTGAGACTTGGTGGCTGCTTCGCTAATGATATTTACAAGTTACGTTTGAAACGGAGATGCACGTGGCCCGAATAGTGCGCATGCGCACTCCGGTATACCCTCGGGACCGTTTCTATTGCAATCTACAGATGTGTGACAGATGGTCGAGTGTCTGCGAGATTATTATTGGAGAAGGTCCGTTTTCTCAATATTTTTTTGCCCTTTGTCCCATGTAGTGAGTCGGGTTTAACGCCGCTTTGAACAGTATTCCAGTTGTATCACGGCGTGTCGGCTGGGTGTGGGGAAAGGTTCTACGCGATGAGTGACATAGATGTTTACTCAGGTGTGAGTGAGTGAGTGAATATGGTTTTACGCCGCTTTTAGCAATATTCCAGCAATATCACGGCGGGGGACACCAGAAATGGGCTTCACACATTGTACCAATGTCGGGAATCGAACCCGGGTCTTCGGCGTGACGAGCGAACGCTTTAACCACAAGGCTACCCGACCGCCCCTTACTCAGGTGTGACGCTAACAGATCAAATATCATAATCGGGGCGAAGATGGGATTCGAACACACTGCTGTAATCCCAACACGGATGTTTAAAACCAAAATGACGGTATGGTTCGTGCAGACCGTGTACAGAAATACAGTTCAATACAGGTTTAGAAATACAGTTCAATACAGTATTAGAAATACAGTTCAAAGCGGCGTTAAACCCAATTCACCCACTCACATCTCTTGATGGGTCGGTCATGCCACACTTAAAATATTATGCACCTGATATATCTTCAGTAGACCCGTGAAGATCCGGGCTAGAATAGGTCTTCAGCAATACCTTTGATATTTTCATCTCTATCCGCATATGACCCCAACGGATATCGTTTTTATCCGTTGGTTTTAACCTGCCGAGAAACCTACCCATTATATGATAAATAATGTTATCCGTTCCATTATGTCTTTGACCCGTGAAGATCCGGGGTAGAATAGGTCTTCATCAACCCATGCTTGCCGTAAAAGGCGACCATGCTTGTCGAAAGAGGCGACTAACGGGATCGGGTGGTCAGACTCGCTGACTTGGTTGATGCATGTCATTGTATCCCAATTACGTTGATCGATGCTCATGATGTCAATTACTGGATTGTCTGGCCCAGACTTGATTATTTACTGACCGCCGTCATATAGGTGGAATATTTCTGAGCGCGGCGTTAAACAACAAACAAACAAATACACCAGCATGAAATCACAAAATAGTTTGGCGTGTGTTAACAATACCTTCAAGTGGAACCTGATTTACCAGATGGAGGGTTTGCATTGAGGACATCGTGTCCGTATCTCTCGCCTAAAAAAATGTAACCCAACTGATCCTATCAAGAATGAAAGAAATAATCGAATCCCCGTTATGGTTTTTTGAGTTGATGTGGTTATATACATGTACTTTACTGGTGTTTTTTAATATATTCAGGCTGCGTTTCGCCAAACCCAGCAGTAACGCATTAGCTGAATTAACGATTATGATCTGGAACACAAGCTCGAGAAAGTAGTTTTTCAAACGTAACATGTCTTATGCGAATTGTTAATCTATGTGACAATATTAAATTAAAATTAGACTTTAAAATGTCATTTTTAACTTGTGTCCCGAAATAAATTGTGGTACACCACCATCGGATGTTATATTATAATTACTTATAGTCAAATCACATACTAGTATTACAATGTGCATTAGTCAGTGGACATCAGGTCGAGATCTAAGTGGTAAATGTCCCCAACATTACATCTTTCCGAGGCAAGGGAGTTAACTGACTCTGAAAGTCCAATTTCCACCCTTGCCGAACTGGACTGGAACATCTGGGCTCGATCGTAGCGCCACCAGTGGCTATCACGAGTTTTGTCCCTTCACTTACCCTCCTAATAGGCCTATTGACCAATCAGATTCCACCTCTCATGTCACTTGCTTCAAACAAAATGGCGGCGCCCAGTGAAGACGATCTGATCGATGATCAGGATAAAGATTGTTATAAAACGGGTCTCACCTCGCGAAGTGCGTCAAATTACGTGAGCATCTTCATAAAAGACATGAAAAGATTTGGAAAATATATGTCAACGCCCAGTTGACGGAACAAACTTGTTGCAAATCCTGCATTCGACCGAAATCGGCACGATGAGATCCATGTTGTTAACGAACCGGATGTTGATTTCGTTGCGCGATTTCGATTGGACTATGCATAGACTCGTTAGTCCAGCCAAAATGTAACTCCATAACTTCAGCCTAGTTCGGCAAGAGTGGAAAGTAGGCTTTTTATAGTTAGTTAATTCCCTTGCCTCGGGAAGATGCCAACATTATAACTGATCCAATGCCTCAACAAAACTATCAGGACCATATCTAGTGTCTCCTACGGTGATATTGTTGGACTCGAGGCGTACCATCTAACTCATTCACTCCCTCCATCACTCCTTCATCACTCCTCCCACTCACTCACTCACGAACCTGTTTGTTTCAGGAGAAGCCTGTGAATGGTTGGTATGCAACATCCGCCCACAAGACGAATCCTTCGCTTGTGACAATAACTCCTTGATATTCGTGGAAAGCGTCACAAACTTCAGGGGCACCCCGAACGAAGCGGCATATCAGAATATCCGACAGATGTGCATGGGGGTGAGGTCATGTGACCCGTCTAGGCTGTGCAGGAGACGGACCGACCCCCTCCGTGTCCGATACGTGTGTGTTTCTGGTGAGTGAGGGTCGGTGCAAAAGATACATGTCTCCGAAACAGACTTATGAGGTTGAAAAATAATACAGTAAACTACGGCTATAACGAACACGCTTATAACGAACTGACGGATATAACGAACTGTATATTTTGGTCCCGCCCATGTGTTGAATATTCGTTGTATATAACGCTAATAACGAACTACGGTTATTACGAACTAAAATAAGGTGTCCCTTTGAGTTCGTTATCACCGTAGTTTACTGTAATTCCACGAAGTATCCCTCGAGAATTGGGGAGTCCCACGTTTATTAATTTAGCCTTAAGCTGAGTAAAGGAAACTGGAGATGTGAATGAGTGAGTAAGAGTTGGGTTTAACGCCGCTTTTAACAGTATTCCAGTTATATCACGGCGTATCAGCTTAATGTGGGAGGAAAACCCGAAGTGATGCAGGTCTCAGACGTTTACCACTTCGGTGAAACCCACGAGCACGGGTATGGTGCTGACAAACCTAGAAACATAATTGGGTCGAACCGGGATTCGAACCCAAAATCATAGTTTTCTGGCGTGCCCAAGGGACGTAACTCTGCACAGCGAATCGCGGCGCCTTAGACGACTGGGCCACCGTGCGCCCAGGAGCTGAAGGGCACAAGTAGAGGCTACACGCAATTTTCATCATAAAGAAGGACCTTTACAAACGGACAAATTCTCAGACAGGGTCGCAAAAAGCACATTCATGCATTTGAAGAGTATCTATTCAATCACTTTATTTCCAATACATTTATGCCACAGGCCTTTGAGTACAAAAGTTGAGTTCGGACAAGTTTTAAACATTCAGTTTCGCATTTCTTACTTCATTTGCATAATATAGATATTTGCTAGATTTGTAATAACATATGTATCTGGTGATGACAAAAGCATATCAAATTTATGAACGTTAGGATGACAATGGAACTTTTCTTTGAGATATAGTTGCCGTAACTTGACATACGTTGGACAAATAAGCAGAAAGTGGTACTCGGTTTTAACACAGTCTAATTTACAAAGAACACGTCCCATTTTAATTCTGGAAACCCAAAAGTCCAGAAACTCTACGCTCTTTGCCCAGTCTCGGTTAAAGGTATTTACAAAATTAAACATGCCGTTTTCATGGGAACATACCAAGGAAGACAAAATGAAAAAAAAAATGTTTAAAAACTCAATATTTAGACTATGTCGCCCATGGGCCTGCCCATGGGCGAAGTGTGGCCCATGGGCCTGCCCATGGGCGAAGTCTGGCCCATGGGTAGGCCCATGGGCAGGCCCATGGGCAAGAATATGTTCCTTTACTTAAAACTCATGTTTTTGTTTCGCAAATACATTTAATGTATTCATTCAAGTATCGTGACAAAAAATTTAACTCATTTTAACTTAATTCAACTATTTTATAGCGATATTGGAATATTTCGCCCATGGGCGAGAAAAAGGTTTGGCCCATGGGCGAGAATATGTTCCTTTACTTAAAACTCGTGATTTTGTTTCGCAAATACATTAAATGTATTTATTGAAGTATCATGACACAAAATTTAACTCATTTTAACTTAATTCAACAATTTTATAGCGATATTGAAATATTTCGCCCATGGGCGAGAAAAAGGTTTGGCCCATGGGTAGGCCCATGGGTAGGCCCATGGGCAGGCCCATGGGCGAGAATATGTTCCTTTACTTAAAACTCATGTTTCTGTTTCGCAAATACATTTAATGTATTTATTGAAGTATTACGACACAAAATTTAACTCATTTTAACTTAATTCAACGATTTTATAGCGATATTGAAATATTTCGCCCATGGGCGAGAAAAAGGTTTGGCCCATGGGCAGGCCCATGGGCGAGAATATGTTCCTTTACTTAAAACTCATGATTTTGTTTCGCAAATACATTAAATGTATTTATTGAAGTATCATGACACAAAATTTAACTCATTTTAACTTAATTCAACTATTTTATAGCGATATTGAAATATTTCGCCCATGGGCGAGAAAAAGGTTTGGCCCATGGGTAGGCCCATGGGCAGGCCCATGGGCGAGAATATGTTCCTTTACTTAAAACTCATGTTTTTGTTTCGCAAATACATTTAATGTATTCATTCAAGTACCATGACACAAAATTTAACTCATTTTAACTTAATTCAACGATTTTATAGCGATATTGAAATATTTCGCCCATGGGCGAGAAAAGGTTTGGCCCATGGGCAGGCCCATGGGCGAGAACATTTTCCTTTACTCAAAACTCATGTTTTTGTAGCGATCTTTAATGAACCCGGCCTTACCTCTCAAAACGTTTTGACAGTTTATCATACGAATTCATGTGCGTGTACTCCAATTCATTGGAGTTATTTTCCACAACATTAAATTTTAGTTAGTTTCTATTTCATTTCCCGTTTTTTATGTCCCGTTGATACATCACACTGGGCAATTACGTGACACTAGGTATGCAATATACAGGTACGTGTGCGCGTATTTTATTGAAAAAAACTATTCGTCTTTTATTGCATAACCTTTGGCTGAATATCTTACATTCTAACGAAATCTCGAAATAATTATTTAATTACAAGCAGTGTCGAACTGACCAGTAGGAATTATGTTTCAATGCGATTGAGGAAAACGTGAGTGAATATTGTGACACTAAAGCAACTTTTAACTGCATTGTCACTTTTGGTATGAAAATGGTAACAGTTCAGAAAAAACAACAGCCTTCTTATGATAGTTCTCATTAGTACGTTGTATCTAATTACAGTGTCGGCCTTATTTACAGGTGATTCTACAATACCTGCTCTCGGTCAATTACGATCTACCACACCACACGTGAATAAACAGTTCTGCAGGTGTTGCTGTGGGCAAATACCTAGCCTGAAAATGTTTATTTTTTTTAGGATACATGTTTTACAAATGTTCGTTGATATGTGGATATATTAAGCACAAAGACAAAAAAAATGTTTATGAAAGATGAATTAGTGCCTTGATATATTCATCGAGATGTGTATCATCGTTTAATGGGGTCATTCAATAAACGTATGTTTGGAGGAGATATCAAAGGAGCCGCCCAATATACACAGTGTCGTCCGGTGAACTACCAACCCACCCTGTCCATTAGAGTTATGTAATCGGTACACAAATATATTTGATGCGGTGTCAGTGCGGAAGGAGTTTGAATTACGTCCGCCACTTGCCACAGAAATCCTCAAAGTATAGAAACAATAAACAAGGTCAATCCGTACTAATTACCAATAGGGAAAATGGTGAAAACAAATTGAAATAGATTTTAATAAAACATTATTGTACTAAATAACTCGCAAAAGCGGTGCCTAAAATTGTTTGACCGTGTTATGTGTGTTGTAAACTGACGAATAGCAAGTAATTGTCATGCTGTACGCATGGTTCCATATACAAATTCAGTTATGCAACCGGTATGAAACTGAGAACTGAGATACCAAGTACAACCTGCATTCACACACGGAAGCAATATACTTGTGTGTATGCCCCCTCCTCTACAAAATGTATCACTAAAGTATTTGCATTGTAATAAATATAGTAATGATAAAACTTGGTAATTTGGTAGGTCTCCTACAGATATGATTTTCAGTTTTTTTTACACCTTTGATTGATACGGATTACGTACCTGTAGTCTAGTCACTGTCTCTAATGTATCTGCTTGTTAGAAATTTCAAATGTCTTGTTGTAGCACTGTTCCTAAAATACGGTAGTTTCTTTTATCGGGTATAAATAGTTGATTCGTCTTGTCACGCAGTCATTTTTACTTGATCGAATGATTTCCACAAAAAAATTACGGCAGAGAGTTTTGTATTTTATTATATTTTTAGAAGATTTTAGAAGATGCTTACATCACTGTATCTCAGAACGTAAAACTGATAACATTCAAACATGTAATTAGTACACAGTTAATTGTTACATATAATTTCCTGCATATTCCTTTTTGAACAAAAAGCCTACATGTATACTGATATCGGTGTCCACTGTTAAAAGGGTATTAGTGCAGTCAGCCATGGTAAATGGAGAGACAATAATAAGGTGATTAATTATAGTCTGTTGCAGAATATGCGGTATAAGTGTAGTCATTGATACATATACACATTACACATATACAGATGAAATACACGATATGATGCAGTGCAAGAACAAATTAAGATACGGTTTCTATTAAAAATAATTATACGATTTTGGATTTAATTAGCATGTTTAAATTTTCAGGCCAACACGGCTGAGATACAGCATCGGCATACTCAACTGGAGTTGTTTTCTGCCGGTCGTAAGTTCATTGTTTGACTGAGCACACTCGTGTCGGGGTTGCGATATTTTCTTCTCTTTGTTGGCAGCCTGCCACCGGTCTGAATTTTGAGAAAGGTCTCAGCATGGGACTGTTAATTACTTCTTAATGATGTCTACAAGCTTACAAACTTGTAGATGTTGGGTGCGGTTAGGACCAAACTTTTTCAGCTCAGATTGTTAGTGGTCCTGGAACCCATAGTGTCAAACAGGTTCTGCACAAAACGTCCATCAGATTCTACTGTTCAGCAACATTGTCACTGAATTTCAGAACTCTGGCATGATATAATAATCAAGGATTTCGAAGGTGAACGAGGGGAAAGGCAGACGCACGTGGATTTACCCTCAGGTTATTATTGTCTGGAGTTCACATTTTGGGGCATTTCATATACTAATTGAACAGAGTTCACCTGCACATGTCCACTTTAGTGATACAGACTGTAACCAAAAATGCAATGAGCCGTAGCTCTTAATCCCTTATAACAACGGTAACAACAACCAGGGTGAGGACACAGTAAGGTTAAACCGTGTCCAACGGACAAACTGAGGTGGCTATCTCCCATCAAGTCAGCTCTGTTTTTAAGCGCATAGTTATGTTTTTACATATTGAAATAAAAGGAATTTAAAAAATTATATTTAACAAACCTACACATTACCAAATACAAAACTTTATAACCCTTTCTAGACTTCGTTCCAATTAACCTGGATCATTCAACTCGCTCGCGAAGGTCGTATGCGACTTTAAAGTGAATACGTCTACAGTGTACAAGTAACTTTTAACTGTATCATATATACTCACGACAAGCAATTATTTTCGTTCCTAATTCGAATGAGCACATTCTGAGGCTAAATCCGCAAAAGGACAGATAAAATATTTCTTTGTACAATGCAAACGATACAAACGTAGCGGCTGATAATAGAGACAATGATTTAATAATCTGCAATATATCAAGTGTTCTCGTTCAATCTATTGTACATATTGAAGTGATTGTAAAGTTTCAAGGAGTACTAAAATGTTGTGGTATTATGAATGTATTTACAATATGAATAGCGAAAAACAGTCACCATATCGGATGTACATGTATAACTTGTCTTCCAACACCACGCTTGTGCCGAGGCCCATGGTCATAAAACTAATCGGTCCCATAAAAGGAGCAAATAGTTTCGCAGATACTTCTTGCTATGGTTCACTCACAATTGTCAGACGACCTAATCATCAGTCAGACCAGTCAAGTGTGACCAGCGTACCTGTCTGGTTTTGGCTCCTAATTACTGAACTGCCTAATACTGTCATACTGTGGGCAGAGTAAGCGGCCTCGTTGAGTGATACAGACTAACCAGATTATGATTGTGTTTGTAAGTTGTGTTTAATCTGTGTCGGGTTGCAGTTGTTTTATTAGTCAAGACTAGGGGTAGTTTTTTCAATGAAACCTTTTAGCCGTTGAGTTTGTTTTGCATTCATTTCATTAAATACATTGTTAGGTAGAATAATAACACGTTATATGGATTAAACATCTCCCTAATCTGAGTATAATCTCACATGTACTCTAAGTACCGTACTATATTACTTTGCGGAGTCACTGAGTATATTTTTTTAGTTGGCATTGTATGCTGTCTGATGACTTTATACAAATCCCTGCATTCAATAGACCCGTGAAGATCTTCAACAAACCATTCTTGGCGTAAAAGGGCGACAGCGCTTGTCGTAAGAAGCGACTACCGGGATCGGGTGGTCAGGCTCGCTGACTTGGTTGATGCATGTCATCGTATCCCAATTGCGTGGATCGATGCACATGATGTCAATCACTGGATTGTCTGGTCCAGACCGTTAATACGCCAGTTGTGACAGGGATGATGGTATGGTAGATGTAGCAGACATATTGACAGCCGTTGTTACGAGAGTCACTAGGTTATTAGTACGGCATTGGCCTTGTTGATTGGTACTATACTTTCTGTGGCCACTGGCGGACGTAATTCAAACTCCTTCCACGCTGACATCGCACCAAATATATTTGTGTACCGATTACATAACTCTTACTGACAGGGTAGGGTGGTAGTTCACGCGAAACGGACGACACTGTGTATATTGAGCGGCTCCTTTGATATCGCCTCACAACATACTTTTAATGAATGACCAATTAAACGATGATACACATCAGGATCGCGGAGAAAATACAAGCTTCGTTCGCGTTGAATATATATATCAAGGCACAAATTCATCTTTCATAAACTTTTTATGTCTTGGTGCTTAATATATCCACATATCAACGAAAATATGTAATACGTGTATCCACAAAAATATACATGTACAGGCTAGGTATTTGCCCACAGCAACACCTGCATAACTGTTTATTCACGCGTGGTGTGGCAGATTGTAATTGACCGAGAGCAAGTATTGTAGAATCACCTGTAAATAAGGCCGACACTGTAATTAGACACAACGTACTAATGAGAATATGAGAATTATCATAAGAAGGCTGTTACGTTTTTCTTAACTATTACCATTTTCATACCAAAAGTGACAATGCAGTTAAAAGTTGCTTTAGTGTCACAATATTCACTCACGTTTTCCTCAATCGCATTGAAACATAATTCCTACTGGTCAGTTCGACACTGCTTGTAATTAAATAATTATTTCGAAATCGAAGAATGTAAGATATTCAGCCAAAGGTTATGCAATAAAAGACGAATAGTTTTTTTCATTAAAATACGCGCACGCGTACCTGTATATTGCATACCTAGTGTCACGTAATTGCCCAGTGTGATGTATCAACGGGACATAAAAAACGGGAAATGAAATAGAAACTAACTAAAATTTAATGTTGTGGAAAACAACTCCAATGAATTGGAGTACACGCACATGAATTCGTATGATAAACTGTCAAAACGTTTTGAGAGGTAAGGCCGGGTTCATTAAAGATCGCTACAAAAACATGAGTTTTGAGTAAAGGAACATGTTCTCGCCCATGGGCCTGCCCATGGGCCAAACCTTTTTCTCGCCCATGGGCGAAATATTTCAATATCGCTATAAAATCGTTGAATTAAGTTAAAATGAGTTAAATTTTGTGTCATGATACTTCAATAAATACATTTAATGTATTTGCGAAACAAAATCATGAGTTTTAAGTAAAGGAACATATTCTCGCCCATGGGCCTGCCCATGGGCCTACCCATGGGCCAGACTTCGCCCATGGGCAGGCCCATGGGCCACACTTCGCCCATGGGCAGGCCCATGGGCGACATAGTCTAAATATTGAGTTTTTAAACAATTTTTTTTTCATTTTTTCTTCTATGGTATGTTCCCATGAAAACGGCATGTTTAATTTTGTAAATACCTTTAACCGATACTGGGCAAAGAGCGTAGAGTTTCTGGACTTTTGGGTTTCCAGAATTAAAATGGGACGTGTTAAAGTTTTTCATTTTCTTAAATTTCTTGGAATTTTATAATGACGTCCATTCTCAATTTCCAAAGAATGACAAATCAGTCTGAATGTCGTGAGGGTTGTTTTCATATTTTGCGAATTTAAGAATGACAAATAAGGTTCACATTTAACACAAGTTTTAAAACAAACATATAATGACATTTTTTGCATAATATGACATTTTTGGAGTATCTATTTTGCACTGCCGTAAATGAAAAGCTACCGTTTAAATCAAAGATACGCATGTTATATTCAGAAAACACTGAACAAATGTGTCAAATACACTAAAGATGAGGTAGTAAGCGTCCATATGCTTGTCCTAAGAGACTTCAATGATGCATGTCATCGTATTTCAATTGCGTGGACCGATGCTCATGATATCAATCACTGGATTGTGTGGTCAAGACTCGATTATTTACAGGCCACCGTCATAAAGCTCGAATATTGCTAAGTGCGGCTTTAAACAACAAAAAATCAATAATTCAACAGTAAATGATATAATTGTTATTGTGTTTATTGCATTGTGTTTTATAATACTCATTTCAGCTTCGTCAATGAGCAACGAATGTGGTTGGCATGTAGAAACAATATGGCGGCGCGAGGGACACATCCAGACGCCATATTACCCAGCGGCCTTCCGGTCTCAGAGTTGTCTGTGGAGGATCACCGCTCCGGAAGATAGGTTTGTCCATCTGTCCATCCATGACGTGTCTTCGGAACATTCATCCGGGACCTGCTACAGCAGCTTAAACATCACCTACCAGGCGTGTGAAACTGGGGATGTCGTATCTGTGCTTTCCTGCGAGAGTACTGCAAAAAACGAGCTTATAGCCTGCGGTAGCGTCAGCGTGGAGTTAATAGCGACTCGGCCTGGGAGTAATGTGCGATTCTGGTTGTCTTACACAGGTAAGTGAACGCCTGGGTTCGACCCCCACCACACAACCCCACCACCCCATCCCACATCCCCCCACCTCTAATCCCCCAATCCCCACCCCACATGGGTAAACTGTGCGATACTATGGTAGTGTCCAATTAGTGATATTCCTGAAATATTGCTAAAATGAGCGTTAACGAATTTTAACTCACTCAGTATATTCTAATTGCGAAATGTTATTCCGCTGAATTAAAACTAAAGTGTTCACTACACAACAATAGTTATTACTGTTCAAGACCAATGAGACAAGTTTAATTAACACAGCTTATCTATTTAATTTGTTCCATCTTACCATGATTTTGTCACACACAAAAAAACAAGATTTTTATAATTATGTCCCACGGTTATGAGTCTTTGACGTAAAATTAAATTAAAATTAAAATAAACCCATAAACATTATCAATAGCAATGTTACATCCGACATACAGGATATGTCGTTGCGCTCGTATATAGATCTACACTACCGGGCAAAAGAAAGTATAAACTTGAAAACTTTGATTTAACCAAATATACAAACGTTATCAATACGGTACTAGTCTGAAACAGTCGCCGAAACACTGCAAACCTAAAGTAAAAAACCAGAACAATGATTCATTATCATAGAATAACCATTTCTTTTTTCGCCACCGTCGAACAGGACAGTGTACTTTCTTTTTCATGCCAGTATAATCCCTTTCAACTTGCTGGCTGGAAAGTCCATTCATGGTGTGCGCGTGGTGTATAAATCCACAAACTAGTCAATCCTTCAACCGTATCAGTGTAGCCTGCTGTTCCATCCGGATGCCCTACCGGACTGGTCATAATTATGAAGCGGTTCCGCCTTTTGACAGTAACGCTGAAGTATCATTTCCCCTTTAAGGCGTCCATTGTAGCTGTAATGAAAGCTTTCTGAGAGACAAAAAAATGTTTTACCCTGTAGTCTTTTAATCAAAACAAACAGCATGCCCCTCCAACCCTTTATTTTGTGAAAATCGAGGGCCGAAATATGTTACGAAAATAAGAAAAATCGTTCATATGTTGGGTATTCTGTTGTGTGTGCAAAATAGTTGTTTGTTTTCTCCCAATTTCATTTTAACCAGATCTTAGTTCTTGCTACCGCTACGCACAGATCTGAGGACATCCCAATACGAGTCGTCAGAACGACCTTTCATCAGACCACTCAAAGCGTTGCTAACTTGAACAAGATTTCTTTTTCAAATCATGTAACCTCGAAAAGGTTAACACGTGTGTTCCGAACGACAGAATCCGTCACAACCATCTTCCTATCTCTTGCTTTAATGGGATAAACATTTGAAGTACACCCTTGACACCCAATCGCGGCCATCTGTTAGACGTTCCTGGATTTTCTTTTATTCAGTTTTCAAATTTTGAATCAAGAACTTTGACAAAATATATTCCACAGCGTTATCTGGAATGGAACTCGGCTGTTTGAAACTAGTGTAGCTCAATAAAGCTGCTTTCTGATTTGCTAATGCCTGACCACCCGATCCCGTTAGTCGCCTCTTACGACAAGCACAGTCGCCTTTTACGGCAAGCATGGGTTGCTGAAGACCTATTCTACCCCGGATCTTCACGGGTCTCTCAAATAATTATAAGAGCCCAAATTCCTCTCGCTGACAAACAAAGCTATGAAAGGGCATGGGTCCAGGGTACTTATCCAAATGGAATAGAAATATAATACCCTAGATAATCGGGGATGGTACATAATTTCATATGGTTAACTGACCTTCACCTAACTAACCAAAAGCTACTTTCAATCAGATCTACCAAATTTCTATAACGAAAATTATTCCTTGAATTTGAATCGTGACCTGTAGATAAAATTTCTACGATAAATCTTGAAATGGAAATTCCCTAAATCGAAGTAACACGTGTACTTGCAGCGTATCAAAGTCCATACCAATATGTTGATACGTGACCGAGTTTCACCGTACGTGTTGCTTATCCAATCCATATGTATGACCAAATTGCAGCACTACCGAGCCCTGAATCTGCATACATTTAACCGCATTACTTCCTGCTAAATGTATCAACAACAACCGCAGCACCTCCTTAGAATGACAGACACTGATACATTCTTCTAACATCCTCAACGTCATTTCCGTTTCCGGTCCAGTGACGTCTTCACCGGAAGCTGCAGTTCGGCCCCCGTTACTTCAGTTTGCTGGGCCGTGTACGCAAGGCCGGAGAACCTCAAGCCGTGCGTTATCATCGGAGGTTTTACCACTACCGTTTCTACGGCCGCTGTATCCAACAGCTACTGCAGCAATGGCATCGTCAACAACGACTCCGGGTGAGTAGATTTTAATATTTCATTGCAGGCTCGTTCCATGTTTGTTTTACTCTAACACTGCGATATTGATGGACCTGGTTTCATTTGGAGTGGTATTACATCTGGATTTCAGATTGAATACCGCAAACGCATCGCGGGTATTTGACACACTGTATTGGCTCAAAGCAAACACAGTATGGCGACATGTTGTCACATTGTGCCTGTGTCAAGTTAGTTAAATAATTTTAACAAATACACATTCCATATTCGACAACCGAGTGTTGAGACATGCTTGCTATTCATATGCTTGTTCGTTTCAGTGATTATAAGCCTCAGCTCAATCAGGGGCTGATTGTTTGTTTAAATAGTTCCCATATTGCATCTGTATGGCTGTGATTCCTATTCCAAGGTCAAGTACCTAACCTATAACGTTTGAGTCTGAGCACGACTTTCATAACTTTCCAGATTGAACAAACACGGATTCCGTTAAAATATACCGTTATAGCACTGCGATATCCACTGATATGCACGAATGACTGGCTCGCTGTCATGTATATGAATGGATGGTACTGAAAGCTTTAACTGTATATTTTAACGGATTCTGTTTTTGTTCTACTTGCGTTTTTTATTTGTCCTGTAATGAGACAGCAGTTTTATGAACGGGAAGAAATTCCGACAGCGCTCGCCTCATATTCACTTACACACTTAATCTATCTATTACTAAAATATTTAGGTCAACGCGAACTTATCCCGAACAATAAATAGCTACATAATTACTTCTTGTAGAAATTATTGCATTGCACTATTAGTGCAGACAGACGCGGTGAACGACTCAGAGCGACCACGCCGACAGCTTGTCATTGCTATGGCGGTGAGAGCTTTGTGATGCACTCAAAATCCTCTGGCTTCAGCCAATGTCTAAAATCTGTCAGTTTGTAAATGACTGGACTTTTCAGTAACTTTGTTCAAAGTCTGATTCACTAAATAAAAGCGACTCACTTTCCACAATCATAAGAAATCCCTGTTAAGAGCAGGGTCCAATGCGCAATTCCGACTATATCACGAGTTTGTGTTTATAGATCACTGTCATCACGATGAAGTCAGTTTCCAAATTGATTAAAAAATCAGTCATTTTACAAATAGTGATTTTTTGACAGATCGCCTCAAATTAATTTAACTGTTCTGATGAAAGAATCTTGTGAGAGGTAAGAAAACAATAGAACCGTTTATACTTGATTAGTTATAACAGCACATCATTAGCCATTGAGAGAATCGGCTTTTTTATCACTTATAGATATATTCTCAGTTATAATCATTACAGTGAGTTAGTGAGTATGGTTTTACGTCGCTTTTAGAAATATTCCAGAATATCACGGAGGGGGACACTATAAATGGGCTTCACACATTGTACCCATGTCGGGAATCGAACCCGGGTCCTCGGCGTGACGAGCGAACGCTTTAACCACTAGGCTATCCGACCGCCCCTATAATGATTACACAATTTGATGGCTGAGAAGGTAAAAACGTAACCTCGTTAATCCGGATGGTTCTGTTCTTATTCAAATCGCCCTGATTAATACATGTCCGGATGAAAGAGTCATAGATGCGGAGTATTACCTTTAAATGTTCTTGGACGCTCCCAACAAAATTCCACGAATGATGATGTTTCCGGTTTAGCGGCGACCGAAGAAACCAGATCTCACGGTATAACATTATCTACTTAACATGTCTTTATTATACTACCTTATCTCTATATCTCCATCCTCCTACGTATATTTTGGTCCATGAGTTGTATGATGCGACAGTAGGGGACCCTCAGATCGTTTCGTTGTTTGTACAGAGGCGTTAATTGTCCGGCTCGGCGCCAAAGGTGGTTTGCAATGAGAGATGGCGCGTCCCTGTTGCAGACCTGTGTCGGAAGGGAATGTTAATGTAAGGAGACTGTTGGTTATGTAGAATGTAAGGAGACTGTTGGTTATGTAGTCCTTGATACTATGTTAATTGTGTTATTGTGAAGTACAAGTTGAAGTTGGATCGCGACATTTCTAATACATATCCCTAGTACCGCATGCAACTATATATACATCATACACTGGTCAAACCATATACATCAAACAGAATTCAAACCAAATACATCAAACACTGATCAAATCCAAATCCAAATACATCAAACACAGGTCAAACCACATACATCATACACTGGTCAAACCACATACATCAGACACTGGTCAAACCACATACATCAGACACTGGTCAAACCACATACATCAGACACTGGTCAAACCACATACATCAGACACTGGTCAAACCAAGTACATCAGACACTGGTCAAACCACATACATCAGACACTGGTCAAACCACATACATCAGACACTGGTCAAACCACATACATCAGACACTGGTCAAACCACATACATCAGACACTGGTCAAACCAAGTACATCAGACACTGGTCAAACCACATACATCAGACACTGGTCAAACCACATACATCAGACACTGGTCAAACCAAGTACATCAGACACTGGTCAAACCACATACATCAGACACTGGTCAAACCACATACATCAGACACTGGTCAAACCACATACATCAGACACTGGTCAAACCAAGTACATCAGACACCGGTCAAACCACATACATCAGACACTGGTCAAACCACATACATCAGACACTGGTCAAACCACATACATCATACACTGGTCAAACCACATACATCAGACACTGGTCAAACCACATACATCAGACACTGGTCAAACCACATACATCAGACACTGGTCAAACCACATACATCAGACACTGGTCAAACCACATACATCAGACACTGGTCAAACCAAGTACATCAGACACTGGTCAAACCACATACATCAGACACTGGTCAAACCACATACATCAGACACTGGTCAAACCACATACATCAGACACTGGTCAAACCAAGTACATCAGACACTGGTCAAACCACATACATCAGACACTGGTCAAACCACATACATCAGACACTGGTCAAACCACATACATCATACACTGGTCAAACCACATACATCAAACAATGAGGAATCACAGCAGTGTCTCAATGGCAACATCAGTCAGTATTGAGGAATCACAGCAGAGTCTCCATGGCGACATCAGCCAGTATTGGGGAATCACAGCAGTGTCTCCATGGCGACATCAGCGAGTATTGGGGAATCACAGCAGTGTCTCCATGGCGACATCAGCCAGTATACTGGAATCGCAGCAGTGTCTCCATGGCGACATCAGCCAGTATTGGGGAATCACAGCAGTGTCTCCATGGCGACATCAGCCAGTATTGGGAATCGCAGCAGCGTCTCCATGGCGACATCAGCAAGTTCTGAGAGATCAAAGCTGTCCGCGAAGTATAAAGGCAGGGCGGGAAAAATTCGGAATTGCCAGCAGTCTGAACTTGACCACACAGAAGGAAATGAGCTACAAAATCATCACTGGAAAGATCTCCAGGAGATTAATCCAAATAATGTGTGTCCCATTGTGTTCACATCTTCATAAGCCCAAAACTTGGCTCAGAAAATGTCGATTATAATATCAACCGCCTCAAACAATACCAGTTTATATTTTGATACAGCAAAAGTTAAAACCGGAGAGCTGTGCCATTCTTGCGATTATTCTTGTATTAAGCATTTAGCTCGATTAGGGCTCCAGCCGTATGAAATGTATTACGGCACATGTGTTGTGAAAACCGAAGTAAACACGACATATGTCCGACTCCTCACAGCAACAGGTGCGTTTGATGTGGTAAACAGCCCAAAAGTGAGCCCACCTTCCCTAAACATCACATGTGTTTACCCATCTTTTGTTTATCTGAATGAAAAAAACAGACTTTTCCAGAAACACTTCAACGTACAGAGAGAATGATATCACATAGATTAGCATGATCGGGGCTCCATCGTCTTACATGTCAGCCCTTATCGTGTATATTTATTGGATTCATTCGATATCGTGACGTATACGAGAAGTGAGATAGTGCGCAGGAAGATATCGGACAGGTTTCATTGAGTCAATTCGTTCCCTGAGGTAATGGATGATAACGACGGAACGCTTTCAGATAAAGTTAATGGCTGTTTTTGTTCTTTTTTTAGACAGGAAATAAACTAAAGATTCAGTGTTACCTCCAAGCAATTGTATGTGCTCATGTGTTTTGTATTAGGTGAAATGGGGTTTAACGTCGCGTCCAAGATTATTGCACTTATATAGCGACGTGCATGTACGTGTGTGTGTTTGTGTGGCTGCTTGTACTAGTCCGGATTCATGCCGATTTATAGTGCTAGCTCACTGAGATACCATGTCGCAGTTTAACATGAATACCCCACTCAGACACATTATACTGACTCCGAGCCGACCAGTCCTTGTTTAAGCCCCTAAATGCCGGGCGCCAGACAGGGTAACAACAAGTACCATCTTTTAACGTCTTTTGGTATGACGCGGCCGGAGATCGAGCCCCGGACCTTCCGCTCTCCGGACGGACGCTCTACCACTAGACCACGGAGGCGGTCCTGTTTTGTATTAACTCACCTGGGTACCAAGTGTGCTCGTCACGCCGAAGACCCCGGTTCGATTCCCCCTATTGGTAAAAAATATGAAGCCATTTTCTGGTGTCCCCCGCAGTGATATTGCTGGAATATTGCTGAAAGCGGCGAAAAACCATACCCACTCACTATTAACTCACCTGGCTGATCGCCCGATTATGTTCTAATCAGGTGAGCTTACGTCGTGGCGTGTTTGTTCACGGTCCGTCTTCAACATCTTTTCGGGGGCACAGCTGGCCCAGTCATCTAAGGCGGTGCGATTCGCTGTTCAGAGTTGCGTCCCTCGGGCACGCCAGAAACCTATGCTTGTGGGTTCGAATCCCGGTACGCCCCGCTTATGTTTCTAGGTTTGTCAGCACCATACCCGTGCTCGTGGGTTTCACCGAAGTGGTAAACGTCTGAGACCTGCATCACTTCGAGATTTCCTCCCACATTAAACTGACACGCCGCGATATAACTGGAATACTGTTAAAAGCGGCGTTAAACCCAACTCACTAACACTCACTCAACATCTTTTCAGAAGCCACTGGCTCAACGAAACTGACAGTTCTCATAATTTGTTCCCACCAACATAACATACGAGCTTGTTCAAGAGGTTAAGACCCGATTTTCAGCATGGGGTTGTCAGCCATACACTGAAAACCTACTGACGTGTTTTTGTCAGCCATTTGTGTTCAGAACGTAACGAAAATCGGCACATATATAATTAGTAGTGTTCCGTTAACGCGACCTTGTTTTGACCTTTAGACCTTGACCTTGACCTACATTCTGACATAACGCACTTCTTTGGACTGTGTACAGCATCTCCACAAGACCAATGAATCAGAATCCGATTTTCAGACTGTTTTTCGTTTCCGGGGCTGAAGTCCATGTCTTGGTGAAACTTGTTATACAGATGAGCCTAGTGGTAATCTGGTGACTTTTGATAATTTGGGCTGAAAAATACTGAACAGCATTATTTTTTTCTCTTTACTGAACTGAATGTTTCTAATGGCAGTGAACCAAAAGTGGGGTATAGTAGCCAAACTTGATTTCCGAATTGCACCAGACGGGGGGATTAGTCATCTCCTGACGACTGTTATTCCAAATGGAATGAAATTTGGAACATGTAGTTATTTAGTAATACGATATTTTAAATTTTGACCTTAATTTGACCTTTATTTGACCTTTACACTTTGACCTCGCTCTTAAATTCTCTCAAAATGAATTTCTCACACTGTAAACATCATCTCATCCGAAACTACCAGCAATGAGGGGGAGCACGGTCGGTGCCCTTGCCTACTCCTTGCCCAGATGTCCTACCCCTAAATTGCACATGACTTTATCTATGAGTTTGTCCAATGGTAAACGGGGGCACGGGTGGCCCAGTCGTCTAAGGCGCCGCGATTCGCTGTCCCTTGGGCACGCCAGAAACCTATGATTATGGGTTCGAATACTGGTTCGCCCCGACTATGTTTCTAGATTTGTCAGCACCATACCCGTGCTCGTCGGTTTCACCGAAGTGGTAAACGTCTAAGACCTGCATCACTTCGGGCTTTCCTCCCACATTAAGCAGACACGCCTTGATATAACTGGAATACTGTTAAAAGCGGCGTTAAACCCAACTCACTCACTCACTTACTCCAACAGTAAACGTCTCAGTGAACTTTAGATGACATAATTTTGTTACGTCCGATTTGGAATCCTGAGTTTTATTACTTTAACTCATTAAACTTTATTAATCCACACCCGGTAATCCAGACTGGGCAAACACTTCGTTTTCCTGAACCTCCAGAGCACGGATCTCTTCAATCCGAATCCTGTATTCATCACAGCCGTTTACACGTTCCATTCGTGCACGTGGCAAGTGTACACACATGTGACATGCCAAAAGTTCCCAAGGAGGAAGTCTGAAGCCCAAGAGTTCAAATTCAAGTACCAGGACTTGTAAGTCAAGTGATTGCTAACTTTGAACTTTCCACCACGTGGAAGTACAGTCTAGAACTGAAAGCATGCATTCTTGCCGGCAGTTGGCCCAGCCAACACATGGCAGGTTTCAGATCGGAGGTCAAACTGCAGCTCAAACTGCTCCTTTCATCCTCAGTCTTACTGCTTTAATCTTCCCTTCACGTTTTTAAAAATATGGAATTGTTATTTGTAGACTGGTACACCTCGGCTCTGAATACCGCCATTGCGAGCACGGAAGCGCCATCTAGCGAGCGAGAGAAGATCAGCATCACAGGTAAGTTTGTGTTTGTTTGTTTAACGCCGCACTCAGCAATATTCCAGCTATATGACGGCGGTCTGTAAATAATCGAGTCTGGACCAGACAATCCAGTGATTGACACCATGAGCATCGATCCATGCAATTGAGATACGATGACATGCATCAACCAAGTCAGCGAGCCTGACCACCCGATCCCGTTCGTCGCCTCTAACGATCAGCCTAGTCGCCTTTTACGGCAAGCATGGGTTGCTGAAGACCTTTTCTACCCCGGATCATCACGGGTCTGGTTTACTTTTAAGGTGTGATAGTGAGGCTTGGTAATAGTTATTAAACGCTGAAACAAAAGTGAAACTGGCAAGAAGGCCTGCTAACGGTTACGATTCTATTGTAAGTTTCTAAACGTTGACCAAATGTAGCTCACCTTATTCCCGAGGCTGTGTACGTATTCATATTTAGTCTATTTTTCAATCCAGTTGTCTGTCCCGGATTATTTACAGGCAAATATATACATATATATCCACGTTGTGTCAACATTTCTATTATATTCTGTTCTTCACTCACGTTGTGTCAATATTTCTATTTTATTCTGTTCTTCTATCAATGCTGTGCCAATAGGTATATCCATTCTGCCCTTCTTCCCTCGTTGTGTCAATATTTCTTTACCATTCAATCCCTCTATCAATGTTGTGCCAATATTGTTTACAATTCTGTCCTTCTATCCACGATATGTCAATATTTCTGTTCACTTTTGGCCTTCTCAACACCTCGTGTCAATATTTCTGTCCTGTCCTCGTTGTGTCAGTAATTCTACTCCATACTATCTTCCATCAATGTTGTGTCAATATTGTTTATCCTTCTATCCAAGATATGTCAATATTTCTGCCCTGTCCTCGTTGTGTCAGTAATTCTATTCCATACTATCTTCCATCAATGTTGTATCAATATTTATATCCTTCTATCCAAGATATGTCAATATTTCTATCCTTTTATTCAAGATATGTCAATATTTCTGTCCTTCTATTCATGTTATGTCAATATTTCTATCCTTCTATCCAAGATATGTCAATATTTCTATCCTTCTATCCAAGATATGTCAATATTTCTATCCTTCTATTCATGCTATGTCAATATTTCGTTTTCAGTTGTGATTATCGTGGTATCGACAATCGGAGCTGTCCTGCTTGTCGCCATCATCCTCACAGTAATTTTCCTGAAGTAAGTCCTTGTGTATCTCATCTATGCGCCCTAACACTATATTCACTCACCCTATAGACGCGGCACATAACAATCCAGGTTAGGGGACAACTTGGTGTACCAGAATGTACCTCCATCCCGTCATGGGATACATTCGCCACCACTCGCGTCTTTCCGTAACCTGCAATTCGGTACGTCCAGGATTGCATTCGTGACCAACTCGTGTTATTCCGGAACAAGCCGAATAGCGACTCGTGCCCCTCTCATGGCCATTTTTGCGACCGGGTTCCGTCTTAGCGCAAAGGGGAATACCTAAAACAATTGTCAACTCGTTGCGTAATGGTTCACATATATATCCCCATATATTATATTATATATATTTCAGATGCAATTTAAAGCATATCTGGACATGCGGAATTATACAGTATGATTGAACACATTTAACTGTGTCTTGGGTATATTTTTAGATGCAAGACATTTGTAAAATCAAAAATTATTTCTGAGGGATTCTTTGACGAAGAACTTGAAATCATAGGCGCATTCTGACTGGTTTGTCGTATTTTCGCACACAACATCCATCGATAGGGGGGACGAGTCTTCTTGCAGGTTACGGAAAATGGCGAGTGGTGACGAATGTCCAGGATTGATACGAGTGGCCTCTTCGGCTAATTCCGGCTATATCCGGACACCGAAGTTTGGCCCTCTCGCGGTAGTCTAAAATAATGTACACATTAGATTTAAATACAATTTTTTTGCAAGGTACTTTGTTTTGTTAATTTTATTTGAGTTTTCCCTGGTATGAGGGAAGAATATTCCAAAATATTTCATCCGTTGCCTTCGTGTGGAGATTCCATGCCAGACTTGAATAATATGAACGAATAATCGAACGAAACGAATCTTTGAGAAATATATATAGACTCCCCACCTTGTGCTGTCGGCGTTCAACACTAACTCACTCTAACTCACTCACTCCGCACACATGTACTGTGGTTCGCAGCGCATGATGACTGTCAGAGAGTGTGATTTTATAAATTAATCTGAGGTTGTTAAACAACGATATATTGAATAGATATTGACAAATATAAACCTTAAAGAGTTCCAATTATGTTACTTTTTTATTAATAAGTTGCTTGATTTGAACAGAGGGATTTATTCTGACGATTCTTAATTTAGCCGATAGGCCTGCGGGGATGTATCGTTTGTTGAGTGTCCGATGTTTTTGGAAATGTTTGTCAAGGAGTTGGCTGTGCAGAGTTGTGTCCCTTAGGCATGCCAGGATCAAATTATTTCGGGTTCCAGGCTTGTCAGCACTTTACCCAAACACTATATGGTAACGACCAACACATCAAGCTGACATGCCGTAATATAACTGAAATACTGTTCAAAACGGCAATACACCAACCTCACTTAACCATATCTGCTTCAATATTTTATTGATGTTGGTGTTTTTTTAGCGAGATCCAAGTGTAAGTATCGTTACCGTGCTGACGTTTAAATCTTCATTTCAGGCGACCTAGAATCGAGCGCGTGGAGCATGTCTATGCAGTTCCGACCCCGTGCGACACAAGCCCAGGAAGCCCCCCTAATTCAGCATCCCCTTTAAAACACGAGAGGCCTATATTAAGGGACTGTTATTGCGAGGTAGCCGACTCCATAGCATCCCGAGTTCAAGCCACTCCGGCGTCGCCCGGTTACGCAGAGGTCGAGGACGTTTGCAAGGGAGATAACTGTCGTTGGGATCCTCAGAAATTTACATTCGGACCATCAATTCGACCTTTGCCTCCGAGTCAGCTGCCGTTTTCTTCGCCGAACATTTCAACTTTCTCCCGAACTCATCCAAACGGAAAAACCTTCGGGGGTCTGCCTACGCATACACGGACATTTTCTGATCCAGCGCCACCTGGATTGATGTCCAAACCATCCGGGCCTTTCATAACTCGCTCAACGATAGGGAGATCGTTTCGTGACCCCAAAATCTCAGATTACGAGAATATTATAATTGACAGTGAACAAAAGAGTCCGCGTTTTGCGGACCAGAATTATTTGCTTTATTCCCGTCTCAGTCGAGCCACGCCTTCAGCCAAGAAAGCTCCCCAAGGAGTTGAGTGTGTTGATGTTAAAGTCCCCAATTCGTCTTCGGAGGGACTCTATGCTACGAGCAGTGTCGTGAATAATTCTAATGGCCCTGTCAAACAACAAGGACCCATTCTTTCTGATACCCGTTCTAGAACCGGAAACGGTTCAGAACCCACCCCACCAATATACATTAATGTACCCGGAAACTCACCCGGAGGTCGTTTACATCCTCCCGGAATCAAAACCGCCGATAACCAAAGACAGAAATCAAAGGGAGGTAATCATGTAACGGAGAACCCACGTGACAAATAACTCAAAGTTCAAATGGCCTTTTTCCGCAGTGATGTGTGATTTCTGTAAAATAATTCTGTATATATTTTATTTAGAAAGGAATATTTGTGAACGGAATTCAACCAGAAGATACCACTGAAGTGCTTTTCTTGTATATGTGATACAGCCTTAGAAATTATCGAATATCATCAAGTTCAAAATAGCACAGGCGGATACTGTGTGAACTGTGAACACAGATTCCATTGTACGAACATCAACACGATGTGTGCATGTAAAGGGAGACAACTCATGTTGGTACTGTGCATTCGTGACCAACTCGTGTAATTCAGATTGATATCGCAACGGAGCACCCGATCAGTTGCATGAGCTTGTGGACAACCCAGGTTGCCTTGGAAGATGCGAGGGTCGGGGAATAAGCTCTGTGCTAATGGATATACGTGTATCCCATCCTAAATCATTACTTGTCATGACAATGTTATATTTATTCAGCATTTAGGCTGCGAGCCGATCAGAACAAAGAAAAGAGGGGCGGGTTTTGGAATTTGGTAATGGGCGACAATGTCTAAAAGTAGAACCACTATTTAATTGATAATTCTAACATTTAATCGAGACTTTTCTCAATTGGTTTACAGATTCGGCCGATCATACAAAAGTGGAAAAAATAAAATTATTAAAACAATGGTATTTTTTTTTATCATTTTCGTTTTTGCTCACCTGACAGAGCGTCAAGCAATGTGTTGTCGTAGCATGTTTGTCCGATGCCCGTTGCGCGTCGTAAACAACTAATGGTCAGAAACCTTGGACCAATGAAACTGACACTTCCCTTGTTTGTTTGTTTCCACTAATGACGACACTCCAATGTGCTCAAGAGGTTCGAATCCAAATTTCAATATTGCGACCAAAGCAGCCACATTGAAAACCCTAATTATGGCCACTACACTCATAATTTTATTCAAATTATTATGAACTTTATTCAAATTATAAAGAACTTTATTTAAAATATAAAGAACTCTATTCAAAATATAAAGAATTTTATTCAAAATATAATGACTTTGGTAAATGTTTAGTTTGTGATGGGACTCGCATATGTTCCCTTTCACGCAATTTTTCAAATGCTGACATCGTATTAACTTGCGACCTAACTTCTCAATGTCATTTTGGCTCTGTAAACATCATCACATCTGAAATAGCGATTATTAGCTGAGTGTGGTAATGGTAAATATAATATATAAGAAATGGTAAATATTATATATAAGAAATAAAAATTGTATTGTTGGAGCTTTTGGCCATTGTGTTCAAACTATAATGGAATTTAGTGTGTTTAGTTCAACACACATATTCTGTGGCCGTTGTTTTGCGATGTTAATTTTTTAACTTGATTTGACCTTAGCGTTTGGACTATGCTTTTAAAAACTGCCTTTCTTTGCACTGTACACCTCATCATCAGGAATCACCGGGCCAAAGATGACGCTTCGCAAGTTTCTTGACAAATATGACCGCCACATCTAGAACCATGAAGTGTATGTCCTTTCTTATGACATTGCTAAGTGGCTGTGTTAATTATGTTTATGTTTGTTGCTTAACGACTCACTCCGCAAAATTCCTGTTACATGTCGGCGGCTTGTACGCAATCGAATATGGACCAGACAATCCAGTGATTGATATAATGAGCATCGATCCACGCAATTGGGATACGACATGCATCAGCCAAGTCAGCGAGCCTGACCACCCGATCCCGTTAGTCTCCTCTTACGACAAGCATAGTCGCCTATTGCGTCGAGCATGGGTTGCTAAGGGCCAATTCGAACCCGGAATCCCACATGTTGGGGAAAAAGTAAAATGTCTCCAACAAAAACAACCAGCATAACCATTGTGTATTTCAGCAAAATACTCTCTTAAAACGTAAGAGACCCGTGACGATCCGGGGTAGAATAGGTCTTCAGCAACCCATGCTTGCCGTAAAGGGCGACTATGCTTGTCGTAAGAGGCGACTCACGGGATCGGGTGGTCAGGATCGCTGACTTGGTTGATGCATGTCATCGTATCCCAATTGCGTGGATCGATGCTCATGATATCAGTCACTGGATTTTCTGGTCCAGACTCGATTATTTACATAAAAACATACTCTCTTACTCCTTTTGCATAGATCAGAAACAAACAATGTCAACATTGAAAATCGGTCTATTCCTTCATTTTAGCATCTGCAGACTTTGACAAAAAGAACAAACAAAATCATCATGTTATCTGGCGTCAGGCTTCGCGTTGTGTCATTCAGGTTTGTATTCGTATTGCATAATGAGTGAGTGAGTTAAAATTTTACATCGCATCGGCAATATTGCAGCCACATGGCGATGTATTGTATAATGGGTAAGGATGTATCTGTATGATATTATGTTGAAAGTTAACTTGTTAACCGAACCAAATTCCTGTAAATTGTGGAAATAAAATATGTTTATAACATGAAACATATTTTATATTATCCCTGGATCTGTTGACCTGCTTTCCAGTTCACCATCAGTCATACAGCGCCCTCTGGTGGTTGTCTACCGCCTGCCTCAGTCAGCCATCTTCCCGTGGCAAGAGAGTTAACTGACTTTAAAAGTCCAGTTTCCACCCTTGCCGAACTAGACTTGAATAACTGGGCTCGGTCGTAGCGCCACTAAGTGGCTATTACCAGTTATGTCCCTCCTAAGCTTCTTATATGGACCAATCAGATTCCACCTCTCGTGTCTCTTGCGTTTGATTCACACAAAATGTAATCAAGATCTATATTGTGATAAAATGGGTCTTACATCGCGAAATGCATCAAATCACGTGAGCACCTTGATTAAAATCATGAAAAGATTTGGAAATATCAGTTGACAAGGAGTTTGCGGTGCACATGCTTTGCAAATCCTGCAATCGACCGAAATCTGCACGACAGTTTACGAACAAGATTTCGATTTCGGTGCGCGATTTTGATTGGACTATGCATAGACTCGTTAGTCCAGCCAAAATGTAACTCCATAATACCAGCCTAGTTCGGCAAGGGTGGAAACTGGACTTTTATAGTCAGTTAACTCTCTTGCCACGGGAAGATGCTGTCAGCTGACGCCCTGTAATGAAACTGAAAAAGTGTGGCCCTAACTCACTCACTCACTCACTAAATTTGAATACGACCAGATACCCGAATATAACGAGTACTGGCTGTCCTTTATAATGTTGTGCATGTTTTTGGCGGTAGTGGTTGTAGCAGTAGCAGTAGCTGGTCCGTTAGTACTAGCGGTAGTTAGTAGTAGTTGTTGTGGCTGTCATAGTTGTTTATCGGTTTATTTGTTTTGAAGATGTTGTTGTAGTATGTTGTCGCAGTCGCAGTGGTAAAAGTAATAGTAATGGTAGATATTGCTGGAATATTGCTAAAAGCGGCGTAAAACCATACTCACTCACTCTCTCACTCAGGCACGAGTTTGTTGTCTCTACATTGCATCAAGAACGTAAGGGTGGTTGGAAGAATGGATGTACAGTAAACTATGGTTATAACGAACATGCTTATAACGAACTGACGGATATAACGAACTTACATTTTTGGTCCCGACAATTTGCTGTAGTTATGCTGTATATATGCTTATAACGAACTACGGTTATAACGAACTAAAATTAGTAGTCCCTTTGAGTTCGTTATAACCGTAGTTTACTGTACGTGTTCTCAAGGTTGTTGAGTCGGTTGATGGTTGAGATTGCCACGTCTCCATGAAGACGACGATACTTCTTTGATAGGCATTTAGAAGGTGGAGTACTAAGTAAGGACAAGAATATATGGATGAGCAACGTCTTTATTACAATTAAGAGCAATGAATTAATTGTAATTGTAATAAAGAAGTTGTTCAACCATAAATACTTATCCTTACTTAATTCTCCTTGTATAGTATCATTAAAGCGTTTGAATTTGTATCCTAGCGCAGAACTATATGCTTGTACACGACCCGTGTATTCAATTACTGAGTTAACAGCCCGCAAACCGTCGGCCCGAGATCTGCGTGTCGTTGTCTAAGGGACAGAACTCCTACTGACATATCTCACCAAGCGGACGATCAGGGTCACAAACAACAAAATGTTTTCCTGTTTTGCTTGTTTTGTTTGTTTGTTTGTCAGCAATATTCCAGCTATATGACGGCGGTCTGTAAATAATCGAGTCTGGACCAGACAATCCAGTGATTGACATCATGAGCATCGATCCACGCATTTGGGATCGATGACATGCATCAACCAAGTCAGCGAGCCTGACCACCCGATCTCGTTAGTCGCCTTTTACGACAAGCATAGTCGCCTTTTACGGCAAGCATGGGTTGCTGAAGACCTATTCTACCCCGGAATCTTCACGGGTCGTAGAATTATGGTGGCTTAGTTCTGTCATTGACTTGGTAAAACGAGGGGACGATACGATGACACAACAAAACGAAGCGATGACAAAACAGAAGCAAGCGGCGATACCATGGCACGATGCGACGCAAGAATGTATGGTCCTTTCATGTCTTCACATCGTATCATCGCAGCGAACAATCGTGCCTTCAAAAAATAAATACTGAACCTACCTGGATTTTATTCGCAAATGTACGACATATTAAATAGGGTATTACTGACCGTAAGTTACGTGATGTGACCAGGTGAATCACGTGCGAAAATTGCGTGCCACTTCCTATTGGTTCGGTCCATAATTCCTTTTACAAGTATATTCAAACTACTACACGACAGTGAGTGAGTGAGTGGGTGGGTGAGTGAATGAGTGAGTGGGTGAGTGAGTGAGTGGGTGGGCGGATTGGTAGGTGAGTGAGTTAGTGAGTGGCTGGGTGGGTAGTTTGGTGAGTGAGTGAATGGGTGAGTGAGTGAGTGGGTGGGTGGGTGAGTGAGTGAGCGGGTTGGTAGGTGAGTGAGTTAGTGAGTGGCTGGGTGGGTAGTTTGGTGAGTGATTGAGTGAGTGGGTTAGTGAGCTAGTGGGTGGGTGAGTGAGTGAGTGGGTGGGTGAGTGAGTGAGCGGGTTGGTAGGTGAGTGAGTTAGTGAGTGGCTGGGTGGGTAGTTTGGTGAGTGAGTGAGTGAGTGGGGTTTAATATGCATACGACCTATTCATCCCAGAACCATGCAGCTGAACCGTTTTTATAACCAGTGATATCATGAGATATCTTGAAACGGATACTTTAAAACTGCACTGCCGGGCAAAAGAAAGTATACACCCATGTTTAATGAAACAAACAATAAATAGTATTCGATGGCGATGCATTTGATTCGGTGATCGCAGTTGTGTTTTGGATCTTAAGTTTACTGTCTTCAGCCAAGTAACGTATTGAAAACCTTTGTAAGATTTTGGTCAAATCCAATTTTTAAGTGCGTACTTCCTATTGCCGGCAGTTTATACAACGCAGTACCATGTAGCGCAGATGGCAGATTTGTTTATGCAGTGTTTTGAGTGAGAGTGAGTGAGTGAGTTGTGTTTTAACGCCGCTTTTAACAATATTCCAGTTATATCACGGCGTGTCAGCTTAATGTGGTAGGTAAGCCCGAAGTGGTGCAGGTCTCAGACGTTTACCACTTCGGTGAAACCCACGAGCACGGGTATGGTGCTGACAAACCTAGAAACATAATCGGGGCGAACCGGGATTCGAACCCACAACCATAGGTTTCTGGCGTGCCCAAGGGATGCAACTCTGCACAGCGAAATGCGGCGCCTTTGACGACTGGGCCACCCGTGCCCCCGTTTTGAGTGAGAATATTATCCTACGCAGGTCCCACATACGCACTAGTTGACATCAATAGATCAAATTCAACCTTGATTCCCCACTGAGGCATGAACATTTCGTCAAAATGGATCAAACTGGATGACAGATGTCTGCAGGAAGATTGGCCGAGTTTATGTAGATCGGTATTAGTTGCATTGACAATGTGAAACATGCCGTTAATGAATCAATCATACTTGACAATTTGTACACAAGTATCAGTTGTAGCGATGGCAGCAAGCATCTAATTACAGTGATGAACGGAAACATGTTACCGAAACCTTGAAAACAGCAGGCTCTATTTTACTCCAGGACCCGCTTGTTATGTTATTGTTGGGGAGGTGGAATGGTGTTTAACATCGCGTTCAATAATTTTGTACTCATAAAGCACAATCGTGTGTGTGCGTGCGTGCGTGCGTGCGTGCATGCACGAACTGCCTGCGTGTGTACTAATTCGGACTAACGCCGGTTTTCAATTTAGCGCTATCCCGCTGAGATATGTCGCAGTTGAAAATGGATACCTCACTCAGATACAGTAAACTGTCTCCGAGCTAACCAGTCCTTGTTTTATCCCCTGGTGCCGATCGCCAGGCATGGAAACAACACTTACCATCTTTGAAAGTCTTTTACTATGCCGCGGCCGGGGATCGAACCACCGACCTTTTGCTCCCCGGGCAGACGCTCCATTCACTAGATCACGGAAACGGTCAAATGCTGTCAGAAGGACACACTACGCAGGTCTGTGATGGGTCAAGATGGCGTCATGCCCCATCATGCACCGCGCACCGCACTTACCCGGATGTTAACCAAAGGACAGATACGTACGAATGTAGAATAACTCGCTTATTGTTTTCGATTCACAGAAGAAAACAAATCAGTTTCATGCATGGTAATTATTTATTTCACCAATTTAACAATTTTAACAGCGATTATAAATAATAATTGTCTATTTGTTCACAATAGCATATGTTATATTGGCAGTCATTTATGAAATACATATGATAATATATAATTGTTGTGTATTGTGTTCCTAGTATGAGTGTCTCGCTCTGGTATGTGTGAGTGAGTGAGTTTGGTTTTACGCCGCTTTTAGCAATATTCCAGCAATATCACGGCTGGGGACGCCAGAAATGGGCTTCACACATTGTACCCATGTCGGGAATCGAACCCGGGTCTTCGGCGTGACGAGCGAACGCTTTAACCACAAGGCTACCTGACCGCCCCTCTGGTATGTGTGGTTCTCCGTGAAATGGCGTGTACTTTAACCAAAGATGTGGCATATATATTGTCTTCAAAATGCTACTGGAATCGGTACACGTGAATGTGATTGCGTGTGTGCAAAGCAACGACGGCGACTCGACAAATATCCGACAAATAAAATATATATTTTGATAACAATGTTTCGCACTTTAAACATCGAATACAGTGAATATTAATAATTTGCTGAATTCGTGAACCGAATTCACGAGATGGTCTGTGTGAGTGAGTGAGTGAGTGAGTGAGTGAGTGAGTGAGCGAGCGATTGATGAGTGAGCGTTTGAGTGAGTGAGTGAGTGAGCGATTGATGAGGGGGAAAGTGGGCGATTGATGAGTGCGTCAGTGAGTGAGTGAGTGAGCGAGTGAGTGTGTGAGTGAGTGAGTGAGTGGGCGATTGATGAGTGAGTGAGTGAGCGAGTGAGTGAGTTGGTGAGTGGGTTAGCAAGTAAGTGAGTGGGAAGTACGCAACCTGTAACATAATTTCAGTTACACAGGCCATAGATGTTTACCACTTTAGTAAAACCTTAAAGGAAAGGTGCTCTCAAACCAAGGATAATATCCAGGATCAGTCTTGGATTTGAACTCAGTGCCTGCGGATCCTGGTACGGCAAGGGTATGTAACAACACACCCATGAATAATGGCAAATTGGCAAGGGTTTGAAGTGACATTTTAGTGATAGAAAGACATACTTACATAATACCGCATATTGACATTAAACATTAACACAGTTGACGAAAAACATGTATTTAAATAAAATACAGACATATATATGTGCTCGTGTGTCTAACATTCTACGTATGGTTGTGTGTGTATGCGTGCGTGTGTACGCGCGTGCGTGCACATGTGTGTGTGTGTCATTTATGGCATTTGATAAAGCAATTTAATATAAGAGTATCACTTTGCAATTTATTGGAATTTACGAATTATGGAATCTTTCCTCCATGTTTCACTCCACTGGTATCACGCTGACATGGGTGGAGATCGCGCATTCCTTAGATAATACCAGTTATGTAGTGCCTACTACTCGTCTTTTTCTGTGCACTCTTGAATCGAGTACACGCGAAGTTGCTAGCGAATAGAAACCAGAATTTAAAAAATAATTAGGAGTGACCAAATATGACAGCCATGTCTGCAGCAATGAACTGATCTGCTTAACATTAAGACACAACATGCTCGCTACCGAATCCTGTGGTCATGTCATTTGCCCGAGAACAATTACATGTTTTGTTTTCAGATGTTGGCATCAATTGACACAGGAGATACTTTGACACTTTTTATGAATAGCAACTTTTATTCTACAGTAAACTACGGTTATAACGAACTCAAAGGGACCACTAATTTTAGTTCGTTGTAGCCGTAGTTCGTTATATGCATATATACAGCATAACTACAGCAAATAGTCCGGACAAAAAAGTAAGTTCGTTTTATCCGTCAGTTCGTTATAAGCGTGTTCGTTATAAACGTAGTTTACTGTAATTAACGACGTTTCAGAGCGATTTCTTGCTCTTTCATCGGGTAAATGCTTAGTATGTGCATAGATAATATAATATAATATAATATAATATAATATAATATAATATATAGACCCGTGAAGATCCGGGGTAGAATAAGTCTTCTCAACCCATGCTTGCCGTAAAAGGCGACTATGCTTGTCGTAAAAGCGACTAACGGGATCAGGTGGTCAGGCTCGCTGACTTGGTTGATGCAGGTCATCGATCCCAATTGCGTGGATCGATGCTCATGATGTCAATCCCTGGATTGTTAGGTCCAGATTCGATTATTTACAGACCGCCGTCATATAGCTGGAATATTGCTGAGTGCGGTGTTAAACAACAAATAAACAAACAAACAAGCAATATAATATATAAGAAAGCATCGGAATCCAAAGAAAGAAGCCAGCCATTAGCAGAGACCAAGGTGTCTACCTGCACAGTGTGTACTCCACTGTGCTATGTCACATCATCAACCACAATGGACATCGTAATAACCTTATTGACTGCGTCACAATAACCAGATCCTTGCCATCACTACACCTTCAATGTGCTTAATTAATCCTCTCCAATTAATCTAATTGGCTTCATCATTATATTGTTATCTTTGTACATTAATCCTACGTCATTTGTCTTTGTACATGCATCCCACCTTGTGTTGTGTAAGGGGGGCACGGGTGGCCCAGTCGTCTAAGCCTCCGCGATTCGCTGTGCAGAGTTGCGTCCCCTAGGCGCGTCAGAAACCTATGATTGTGGGTTCGAATCCCGGTTCGCCCCAATTATGTTTCTAGGTTTGTCAGCACCATACCCGTGCTCGTGGGTTTCACCGAAGTGGTAAACGTCTGAGACCTGCATCATTTCGGGCTTTCCTCCCACATTAAGCTGACACGCCGCGATATAACTGGAATACTGTTAAAAGCGGCGTTAAACCCAACTCACACACTTGTGTTGTGTAAACATATAATTTAGATTGATGAAGGAGCAGGAAGTAGCTCTGAAACGTCGGAAATAAAAAAAAAAGAAGTTATCCATAAAAAAGTGGCATGTATTCAAGGGTCCGGATGATCGTTTTGCTATGCCATTTATGTCCTCTGTGTTATAATACCTCAAAGTAAAAATTTGACCGACATATGCCCATAATCTTATGTACATAGGGAACCGCCCACAAGACACATACTCCCAACGAGAAATAGGTGACGAATTTATACGCTGTTTGCACTGTAGGATGACTCTTGTCCGGCTTTTCCAATCCGAAGAAATACGAAAACGCTTTAATCGAGACAGTCGTAACCACTTCTCTAACCAGTGCTAACACAAAGGCGCCAGAAAACAAACGAATCATGGACAAAGCCAGCCATGCTACAGTTGGGCTTGCAATGGCGTATGGAGGTGTCACTTCCGGTGGAGAGGTCAATCCAAGATGGTGGTTGAGCCACACGCCGTAGGATAAACCCACGGTGACCGCAACGGTCCCGACTGCGTCGCCCTTGGCGGAGTGCTGGTCATTACCCGGGTAACACACTGTACACAAGGCTAGTCCTGTGGTAAAAAGGACAAAAGGTGCGCTAGGATGAGTCTGCTGGAATGTGTCAAACTCCTTGAAATAAGGCGTTGCAACGATGATGATGACCACGGAGAAGAGGAACCCGACAAGAACATCCTGCGGAAAGAAATACACGTATTAGATTTCAGTCTCTTCCACAGTATCAATTACATCACATAATACCCGATTACATCATACACAGAATATATATAGTCAACCCGTGAAGATCCGGGTTAGAATAGGTCTTCAGCAACTCATGCTTGCCGTAAAAGGCGATTATGCTTGTCGTAAAAGGCGACTAACGGGATCGGGTGGTCACGCTCGCTGACTTGGTTGATGCATGCCAGAACATCCCGATTTCGTGGATTGATGCTCATGATGTCAATCACTTGATTGTCCAGACTCGATTATTTACAGACCACCGTCATAAAGCTGGAATATTGCTGAGGGCGGCGTTAAACAACAACAAACAAAACAAACAAACCAGCTTCAATGTTGGGTTGGCTGCATCAACAACATGGCGGCCAGACCCATTGGTTGCGAGAAAATAAAAACTGACTGACAAGCAAACGAAGGCTCTCAAAAAACTTGATGGAAAGGGTTTCCTCAGCTGATGAAGACAGTGCCGCACGTAAGCAAATGTCATCAGCTGATGAACGTCAACAAATACAACTTCAATCCTTATATTGACAGATACATAAATCATAACAAAACAATCTATTAAACATGAAACTTTAACTATTTAAAGCGAACTATATCAACGCGGAGAACCGAGACGTCGTGACGTGATCCGTCCCAAACATTCCATTTGGAGTGACATCCCTTGGTTCTACAAACAGTTGGAAATGGCGGCTACGGCAATGTCATTCACTTGAAATAAAAAGTTGTACTCAGCAAAGATAGAGTTTGAAAGAAATCCAGACGCGGATCATGCTGAAAATGGATTGATATTAACGTTCTGTGAACTTTGGGTGTGTGTTTGAGTCATACTACGGCTGCTGATGACGGGGATTGCCGCTTGAGGCGGCGCGGTCTGATTTCCCGAAGCAATACACGATAGTAAGTCGAGCATTTGATTGGTCGGTAAACTTTTGATGAAAGTCAAGAGCGGTTAATTTGAGATTTGTTAGTGTAGGTTTACCGAAATGCAAGCCATGCAGATATAGATCATGAAGGCCGCGGTCATTTAACTGGAGAGCGGCATAAACAACCAATCAACAATCCAACATATATGACCACTCATTCGACCCAATTTCTGAACCTAACGGTTTATGAAATACACAACAAAAAACGTTCGTCCTGAAAGACCTCCCGGAAGAGAAAATCTATTGAGGAATACAGTTCGAATGACCACACATTTAAATGATTCATGCTACATTCAATGAGTAATACTATGGTAAACACAAAAGAAAAGACGAATCAGGTTGTATTGATGGGTATGTGATAGGCCAGGTGTTCGTGAACTTGATATACCTCCATTGATTTCTGACGGTCTAGTATCGCAATATAACGGATTGGTAACAGACGGAATTTTGTTGCCTAGCAACAGGTCCAAACGATTTACTCTGTCAACAATAAGTGACCGATTTTCGATAAATGATTACCAAACGTTGCCAGGTTTTTTGGTTTGGTTTGTTGTTTTACGCCGCACTCATCAATATTCCAGCTATATGACGGCGGTCTGTAAATAATCGAGTCTGGACCAGAAAATCCAGTGATTAACATCATGAACATCGATTCACGCAATTGGGATCGATGACATGCATGAACCAAGTCAGCGAGCCTGACCAACCGATCCCTTTAGTCGCCTTTTACTACAAGCATAGTCGCCTTTTACGGCAAGCATGGGTTGCTGAAGACCTATTCTACCCCGGATCTTCACGGGTCACGTTGCCAGGAAACAATATTTACACTACATATGTCAGTTGAATAACATACGACAGATTTTTGGGTGTTAATTGTTCTTTGTGGACAAAAGACATCATGAACTGGGAGTTCACTGGAATGTTTTTTTCATATTGCTGCTGGGTAAGCAAATAAAATCTATATACCAGTAATCATCCAGGTTTGCTTGTTTAATTGTTTAACGACGCACTCAGCAATACTCCAGCTATATGACGGCAGTATGTAGATACTCGAGTCCAGTCCAGACAATCCAGTGATTGACATCATGAGCATCGATCCACGCAATTGGGATACGATGACATGCATCAACCAAGTCAACGAGCCTGACCACTCGACCCCGTAGCGTCTTACGACAAACATAGTCGCCTATTACGGCAAGAATGGGTTGCTGAAGACCTATTCTACCCCGGATCTTCACGGGTCTAATTATCCAGGTTGTTTCGGGGTAGAATTGGCCCCTGGCAACTCATGCTAGTCGTAAGTGTCGAAATTGTAACCTGTCGACGTAAGACGTGGCTCATATAATGTTGAGCCATTATACTGTCTGGTCTAGATTCCACAGGCAGCCGTATTATAGCTGGAATATTGCTGATTACGGCGTTCAACAAACACACAGAGAATTCTTTGATAGAAGTATCGGTGGCCAAATGGCTTTAGGCACAGCAAGTCACTTAACGGAGTGGCGTCCCTTAGAAGCCTTGACCCGATGCTCGTTGAGCCCAGATTCAAACGGTAACGATAACCAAAACTGTGCAAACGGGTTTCACGTTTTCACCCCCCACCTGCACTGGATCGTCAATAACTGTTAGACGCCTGTCTTTAACTATAATAACAAAATACCCCGACCGATAGCAAGCGAACCGTTCCAGGGACATCTAAGCAGCTAGTAGACGACGTAAGCACATCCAGAGTTACCACCCTTGCTTTACAATCGGATTGCGTCGGGTAAATTCGTGAATTCGAGATAATATAATCAGACCATGGTATTCGTGTTGATAAGAACCACGACAATTCCAAGCATGTGAAATGTGCACATTGTCAGCGGGGAACATGGGAAAATCTTGCCCATTCAGTAACCAATGAGGAACTAGTTTATTAATGTAAGGTGAGGCTAGACGTACCAGCACTGTGTGGACGCCCAGGAAGAGTCGACTGAGGCACACCGTCACGCACCATGTGAACACCAGGGCAATGGCTGCGGCCACTGGGAACTGAAACAGGAAGAAAAGCTGAATTACTTCGTAACAGAGATCGTCATAAAGGATAAGAAACCTGCGTTAAAACATGGACTGTACCACAGATACCGGCGTCGTGCTTACGGAAGAATAGGACTTTTTTATGATAATTATTCATCGGCGTGAAACACTGAGTTTTCTGAAGTTGAGAAAGGTGGTATTTTCATTGCAGTGAACATAACACTTGACATTTCACTGCAGGGAACATCACACCTTGACGGAACTATTGTCATACAAGAGTGGCGAGACGTGAAATATCCTCTATATATATTTCATAATATTTTTAGGGGCGGTCGGGTAACCTAGTGGTTAAAGCATTCGCTCGTCTCGCCGAGAACCCGGGTTCGATTCCCGACATGGGTACATTGTGTGAAGGTGAGGTGAGGTGAAATTGGGTTTAACGTCGCGTCCAAGATTATTGCATTTATATAGCGACGTGCATGCACGTGTGTGTGTGTGTGTGGCTGCTTGTACTAGTCCGGACTGATGCCGATTTATAGTGCTAGCTCACTGAGATACCATGCCGCAGTTTAACTTGAATACCCCACTTAGACACAGTGTACTGACTCCGAGCCGACCAGTCCTTGTTTCAGCCCCTTTATGCCGAGCGCCAGACAGGGTAACAACAAGTACCATCTTTTAACGTCTTTTGGTATGACGCGGCCGGGGATCAAACCCCGGACCTTCCGCTCTCCGGGCGGACGCTCTACCACTAGACCACGAAGGCGGTCGGAATGAACACAGGGAACAGAGGAGCATTGTTCAATGGGAGTCGGGGATCTCACGACAAATGGACGAGTTCTCCTGACAGTTGAGCCAGATCTCACGATCCCACAGATGACATCCCTACCTTGTCAGCTTGGTCATGTGAACAAGGCGTCCGACCTCTGATCAGAAGGTCCGTGGTTCGAATCCCATCACGGGACTCGGAAATTTTATGGCCGCTACATTGACGCCAAACGCGGGGCTGAGCACATTCATATTAAACTTGAGCAAAATAAGTCTCAGTACCTTGCTATACGGCTCGGGACGTGCCTTCTGTTGACGGGGAAGTGTGTAGCGGAACGCTGAGTCATCCCACGGATGGCATCCTTACGTTGTCAGCTTCCTGACGGTATTAACCTCGTTGGTCATGTGGACAAGGCGTCCGACTTCTAATCAGAGAGTCCGTGGTTCGAATCCAATAACGGGACTCGGAAATTATATGGCCGCTACAGAAGCAGGGTACCATTACACAGTAACGGTAGTCATCGAGCCCATCGAGCAAGGGCAAGTCAACTGTTCACCTAATTAGCACGGAAACGAATGGTACAAGTCAAAATATGGAATTGCATCGGACATAAACCAGTCCATCGCAATGTTTTTCGTCCGTTATATGTTGTTCTGTTCAGTGGTGAACGTTTCTTACACACCTGTGGAGCGGTCGGGTAGCCTAGTGGTTAAAACGCCGAAGACCCAGGTTCGATTCCCTACATGGGTACAATGTGTGAGGTCCATTTCTGGTGTCCCCCGTCGTTATATTGCTGGAATATTGCTAAAAGCGGCGTAAAACCATACCCACTCACCCACCTTTTACTGTTTGTGGCAGACTGACTTGTAAGAACATTTATTGGTCAAATTTATGCTGAAACACCGAATCGAACAATTTTTTTATTTTAAAACCACACGGGACACTTTTTCCAGCTTCCTACCAACCAGATTGACGTGAATCTCGGTCCGATGTTACAGGGATTTTTTAGGATTACGACGGTAACACCAGGAAACGCATTCATGGGTAGGATATAACATTGGGTGGCCATGCTGTGGCTGTCAAAACAATATTGAAGTATTGTTTGAAGTATTGTTTGACTCCCATTGTCACAACCAGAGTAATCTAGAAATCAACTGCCCTCGAAACTACGATACTATTATTGAGTTGGTGCTGGAACATAATCGATGAAAACATTTCGAGATATTTCCGACGGCCCTCATGCCAAGGTATTATTAATCATTCGTAGCCTAGACACAAGACATTTATCGAGCTGATCTATCGAACAATCAGCGTGTGATTGCGGTTTACATCACGATAATACATGTGATTATGTCTTGATGTGGACATAGGAAATCTAGACTTTGTAGTGTGTACCATGCTGTTAATTGGTACAGTAAACTACGGTTATAACGAACACGCTTAAAACGAACTAACGGATATAACGAACTAACTTTTTAGTCCCGACTATTTGCTGTAGTTGTACTGTATATATGCTTATAACGAATTACGGTTAAAACGATCTAAAATTAGTAGTCCCTTTGAGTTCGTTATAACCGTAGTTTACTGTATTCCCATTACAATAATGAAACAGACATGACATTCTTTAAATACGCATGTCAATAACCATGTATTTACCTCCAGTTGGGGTGGCGTTACACAACAGACACATACTTTCTGCACAGGCAATGAGTGAGTGAGTTGGGTTTAACGCCGCTTTTAACAGTATTCCAGTTATATCGAGGCGTGTCAGCTTAATGTGGGAGGAAAGCCCGAAGTGATGCAGGTCTCAGACGTTTACCACTACGGTGAAACCCACGAGCACGGGTATGGTGCTGACAAACCTAGAAACATAATCGTGGCGAACCGGGATTCGAACCCACAATCATAGGTTTCTGGCGTGTCCAAGGGACGCAACTCTGCACAGCGAATCGCGGCGCCTTAGACGACTGGGCCACCCGTGCCCCCCACAGGCAATGAAACTTTCGAAGGCGTGTTGAAATGAGGATTAACATCGCGTCCAAGATTATTGCACTTGTCTTATATAGCGACGTGCATGCAATTGTGTGTGTGGCTGCTTGTACTCGTCCGGACTGATGCCGATTAATAGTGCTAGCACATTGAGATACCATGCCATATCTAACATGAACAGACCGCCTCCGTGGTCTAGTGGTAGAGCGTCCGCCCGGAGAGCGGAAGGTCCGGGGTTCGATCCCCGGCCGCGTCATACCAAAAGACGTTAAAAGATGGTACGTGTTATACTTCGCGATGTAAGACCCATTTTATCACAATGTAGACATAACTTGTAATAGACACTGGTGGCGCTACGATCAAGCCAAGGAATTCCAGCCTAGTTCGACAAGTGTGGAAATTGGACTTTTAAAGTCAGTTTACTCCCTTGCCTCGGGAGGATGTCCTTTCCTTGACAGTGAGAGGTTTCTCATCAAAACTGAGAAGGCTATTTAACGTAGCCATTAACGTTCAGCAAAGGTAAATCTGTTTTAATTGATGATTCAAACGAATGAGTCAACACTAATAACTGATATTCGACTGATTTGGTGTTCGGCTGGAGGAGCTCACTCAATCAAATACAGTGAACTACGGTTATAACGAAGTCAAAGGGACCACTGATTTTAGTTCGTAATAACCGTAGTTCGTTATAAGCATATATACAGCATATATGCAACAAATGACCGGGACTATCAGTTCGTTATATCGGTCAGTTCGTTATAAGCGTGTTCGTTATAAACGTAGTTTACTGTAAGTATGAGCGGCCGCCTCTGTGGTCTGGAAAGCTTAAGGTCGGGATTCGATGTCCGGCCGCTCATACCAAAAAACGTTAAAAGATGGTACTTGTTGTTACCCTGTCTGACGCTTGGCTTAAAGGGGCTAAAACAAGGACTGTCGGGTCGGAGTCAGTATATTGTGTGGGCACAATAATCATGAACGCGGCGTTAAACCCCATTTCACCTCACCTCACCTCACCTTTTGTAAGTATGAGCAGAAATAAATTTGATAAATTTATGTTAGCAAAAACTTAGGTAAGTGCTTTCATCTCTTTGTGAACACCTTGTATGTTGCCATGGTGACAGATGTTACATCACAAGGAAGACAGCATGTATACGGTGGCAGTGTTGCATGAACATGTTATCTTCTAATGGCGAAGTTTGCAGATGGCATTAGACTACAGATATTATCTAATATATATGCGCATATTCCTGAAAACACTTTCAATTCAAAACATGTTAATTTTGGAACTAAAATGCATATTGCATACATAATAGGCCTGGCTATAATATTGTTAATAAATATAAATGCGTGGCACGTTAAACTGTTATAATATATTAACAATATTAACTCTTGGTTTATCTATCATGTGAAATTATATTATTAAGCATTGTATATAAAATAGTGCCAAACGCAAGCTACAGCGCTATAACAAGGTTTTAATGTGGTAGACGGAAACGAGGTTTTAATGAAATAAAATAGACGGACGTGATTTCACGGAATGCTTGCTACCATTGTCGCTGTTCTCAAAGCTGTTGTGTGTTTCCATGGAGACACTAACAAGCTGGTCGACTGAACGTCATTATACCCCAACAAAGTGGATTGTTGTTTATAATCGAACTCACTGGTTTGTTTTGCCGATACAATATAAAGCAGCAATGACACAACTGGGATATATCGGAGTGCGGCGTAAAACAACAAACAAACAAATCACATTGCGAAACAAATAACAGGTTCCATTAAATTCCCCGTTCCAAAGTCTGGCATTGTTCTGATAATAGGTAACGACGTCATCACTGATGTCATTGTGGACGTGTTCATCATTAATCTTACAGACCGATAAATCAAAGTGGAATTGTTTCAAACAAGTTCATTGAGCAGTGAGGCAGGAAGCGATAACATTACAAATCGATTTTATCCTCCCTTTTGAGAATTGGGGATGTATAATTAATTCTTTTGGGACCTGAATCAATTCACGATGCGCGAGAGCGGCTCGCCTGGTCCTATGTCTGATAGTCGTCATTTATGAAATGGCGGAGGTGCTTTGACAGGTCACACTCGAAGTAAGGCTTGGGAAGTTCTCTAAAAGGCTAAAATTGATGTGTTATTCATCGATCTGCTAATGTATGTCCGCATTTGGAATGATGTAACGGGATGTTTTAGATTGCGAGAGGGAGAGGCATTAATGTTACCTGGAGTAGAAGTAACAGTAGCAGTAGCA